CCAGAAAGCAACTGTTACTTGTCTCCTGACTTAATAAAGACTTAATTTTCTTCTTGCTTCTGATTCAAAATTTATTCTTGGTCTTCAGTATGCAAAGCCGCCAAGGCAGACCTAGTATTCATGGTGGATGGATCCTGGAGCATTGGAGATGACAATTTCAATAAGATCATCAACTTTCTATATAGCACTGTGGGAGCCCTGGACAAGATTGGTGCAGATGGGACCCAGGTAAGGCAAATAAATCAATCACTATGCCATCCTACACATTCAGAAATTATTTCTCAAGTTCTTACTTTGGCCTCTTGTCAAGGAATGCAAGCAAAGAACTCCAGTGAGGGTACGCTAATACTTACAGGTATATCCAACCTGCACTCATGCTCTGCAGGCACCCCAGGATAGCTATGAATCCAGCCCAATATGTTTTTAGATGGCAGTGTCATATCAAATATGAAAAGGTTGGGCATCCCTGCAAGAGCTGTCGAGGCCAGCAAATTAATGAGGGTAAAGAGGCCAGTTGGGGGTATTTCTTTTCCATGCTAAGACAGTGTCTCCTTTATACACAATACTTTCCCTGCCCTCAAGGGCATGACCATCTTGAAAGGGAGGGGACGTGGTCACACATTGCCAAGGTTCAAGCAGAACATGAAGACACTTCATTCATTCAATGGGCATTCAGAGTTCACAGTCCTGAAAATGAAACACAACCAAAAAAGTCTCTCATAGTGCACAGAAATGAAATGAAATTGGAGGAAATTGGTAGAAAAGTTTATATGGCAGTGATTGAGAACACAGGTTCTGAAATAGGATGCATTAACTTCAGCTGTCTGCTCTGCTAGTGACCATTTGTGATCTTGTTCCTGTTACCTGGTTTCTTGTGTCTCAGTTTACTTATTTGTAGAGTGGGTAGGATCGTAGTAATTATTTCCTGTTGCTTTATTCTTGCTTTACAGGAAGTTCTTGTAAGGATTCCAATCCTGATTCTGTGCCCTGGCCAGTTACCAGATTTAGGATGTCACTTTTTACTTATTAAATGACGTGGCAAAAGTACTATAGGCTTTAGAGAGAAATTTAAAAAAGTATCTAGTTCTTGTTAAGTACTTAGAAGTAGAAAGAGAAGATGAAATTTAATTTTTCTTCAAATTTGATATCTAATAGAAAATTTAAATGGAATGAATGGTTAAGAAAGAAATTAAGGTGCTGGAGAGATGGATCGGTGGTTAAGAGCACTGATTGCTCTTGCAGAGGACATGGATTCAATTCCCAGCACCCACACGGCAGCTAAGAACTGTCCTTAACTCCAGTTCCAGGGGAATCCTATGCCCTCTTCTAACCTCTATGGCATTGCTTGACACAGGTGCACTCATATACATGCAGGCAATACACTTACACACATAAAATGAATAAAATTTAAAAAGAAAAATTAAAATGCTGGGTGATATTGTGCTGTTGTATGTGTTCTCTGATCCAGTGGAAGTCTGTACCTGTGTAAAGGCAGATATATTCTCTCTTTAGGTAGCAATGGTTCAGTTCACGGATGATCCCAGAACAGAATTCAAACTAAATGCTTACAAAACCAAAGAGACACTTCTTGATGCAATTAGACATATTTCATACAAAGGAGGAAATACAAAAACAGGTAAGACTCAAACAAACAAACAAAAACAATAAAACAATGCCCAGTTCAAGTTCAAAGAAATCACTGGTAACTAGTAAAATGACCCGTTTTTTGTAAATTTTAATTGAATTTTTATGTATTTAATATAGAACATCTTAATCATCTTTATACCCCTTCCACTTTGGCTCCTTCTCATAGTCTCTCCACTGGATTTCATGCATTTTGTCATTTGTGTTAAGGTCTATCGAGTCAAGTTAGTGTCCCCAAATGTCCCTCAGTGCGAGTGAGACATCTACAATGGAACCTCTACACTTAAGGTTCATGGAATAGGGTTACAAGGGGTAGAGAGAACACTAATGCATCTTTCAACACTCATCATCAAAGCTCCCTCATGTAACAGAGGGCCATAAACACAAATGGACACAAATGTCCAAAGCGTAGTGAATAAGAGTCTGCAGAGTATGGGTCCCTGGACAGGACTCCTGTATTAAACTTTACCCACCCAGGGTTCAGAGACCATTGCAGAAGAGGGTCAGAAAGAGTGTAAGAGCCAGGGGAGGAGATGCATGACTATGTGGAAATAGAGTCTTACAGACTCCTAGGACCTTGCTCATATGAACCTACAGCAATGGTGTCAGCATGTACAAGACCCATGCAAACTCAAGCAGACAAAAACCCAGCATAGAACTGTGGAAATGGGCAGAAGGCCCCAATCTTAGCTGAAGAACTACTGGCAGCTGATTACTGCTGGGTGAGGTAGAATGACCCTTTTTTATGAGACTTACTTGGTTTTCTGGAGCTGGGGATGGAACCCAGGGCCTTACCCACAATGCACAAGTGCTCTACCCTCGAGTTCATCCTCAGCTCCTAAGGCATAACAACTTTTACTTTCATCAATTTGAGAACTTTGTTCGTCCCCTTTTTCTCCCCATCAAAGTGTGAAAGGAATGAAATTGAACTGTTGCCTTCCTTTATTTCAGGAAAAGCCATTAAACATGTTCGAGATACCTTATTTACTGTAGAGTCAGGTACAAGGAGAGGCATCCCGAAGGTTATCGTGGTTATAACCGATGGACGATCACAAGATGACGTGAACAAAATCTCCAGGGAGATGCAGGCAGATGGTAAGATTGCTAAATATACACCATCATGGCTACCGAGAACAAGTTTGACACTAAGACACATTCACAGGCGACATCAGCCTTATTTTAATTCCCAAGTGGACAATATGACTTTTTAAAAATCACATACATTTCCAATTCTATAATTATACCAACAACAATCCATGGTTTGTTATAGCAAGGTGCCTTGTACAAGGAACTGTGGCAATGAATTAAAATGCTATCAAAAGTCCAGGGGAAAAAAACCCCATATGGAATCTCCCAGTCTCCTTATCTATAGAAGGGAGATTCTCAGAGGATGGTTGTGAAGATTCAGTTATCAAAAATGTGTGCTACAGTTTTAATTGTCAACTGGACATAAACTAGAATCACCTGGGAAGGGAACCCCAAGGAGGAATTATCTAGATGAGCTTGGCCTGTGGGTATGCCTGTGAGGGGTTTTCTTGGACTGTGGGTAGTGCTATCTCAAGGGCTGGGTCTGGGCAGGGTGGAAAGGAGAAAGGGAGCCTAATACAAGTATACATGCATGCATGCTTTGCTCTCCGTTCTTGATTATGGATATGATAATAATCCAGCTCCTGCTACAGTGACTCCCCTGCCACAGTGGGCTGTGAGCTGGAACTGTGAACTGAAATAAACCCGTTCTCCCCCAAGTTGTTGCTTTTTTAGGGTATTTTGTGATAGCAACAGGATAGGGAACTAAGACAACATGCTTAACAACAGTAGCTTAATACTTCTATGCCAATTTTCAGATGATGGCCCATCTTAGGCTGCTAGTTCTTATTTTCTACCTTTGAAGAAACAATATCATCAACAATAAAAAGCCTCTTTCTGTTTCAATGGCACCTCATCCCACAGATGTCAGATTAACTATTGAAAAGGTGCAACCGTAAGTGTGTTACTCAAAGGGGGATCATTTTGGCTCATGCACCAAGGCTTTAACTTTATTAATTTTCTTTAAAATGGAAAATTTCTTGATGGGATGATGGAATAATTCTCACATAAGGAAATATGTGCATGCATGATTCTGATGAAGGGTAAAAAATTAATTAGCTGCCCCCATTGGTTTTCCTGAATGAGCATATTTTAAACATCTGTGGCATTCAAAATCTTGCATTGTATCATTTGTACTTTGTGAAATTTAAAACAATCAAAATTCTCTCCTGCTTCCGTCATAGGCTACAACATCTTTGCAATCGGTGTGGCCGATGCTGATTACTCAGAGTTGGTTCGAATCGGCAGCAAGCCCAGCGCACGCCATGTCTTCTTTGTGGATGACTTTGATGCCTTTAAGAAAATTGAAGATGAATTAATTACTTTTGTCTGTGAAACCGCATCAGCAAGTTAGTTCTTTAGAATTTGTACTGACCCATGTTATTTAAAATCTGACATATCAAATATTGGTTATGTAATGAGTCCGTTCAAGAACCAAGGCAAGAATATTAGCTCTCAGACAGAGTTCTTTATTATTAGACATTAAGTTTTGTGGTTTTGCGCATATGGAGTAAACATTCTCTCCCTTTTCTTTAGAGGTTTAGGTTGATAGATATCTTTTTGAGTCATGACCATTAAAAAGCCACTGTGGTAAAAACAAATACAAACGCTGGGTGTGGTGGCACATGGCTGTAACTCCAGCACACAGACAGGAGGATGGCCTCAAGTATGAGGCCAGACTTGGATACCAATTGAGTATCAGATTAGCCAGGAATACATAGCAAGACCCCATCTCAAAACAAAGCAAAACTGAACCACAGAAAACAACAACAAACCAACAAATGTAGGAAACAGTTTTCAAAGATGTCTGTATTAAAACATTTCTCAGCTGTCAAATAACTGCCATAGATTTGAACAGACCCTGGAAAGGGGGCAGATGCTATGACACTTTGGTTCTAAGAGCACATTAGAGCAGTTCAAGCTTTCCAAATCAGAGGCAGCCACATCAGATCTGGAGTGGCTCTGCACCGCAACTGTGGAACACTTAGGAGGAAAGGTTAAGTTAGCTTCCTGTGTCCATGACAACAGAAGCACCTGTGTGTGTGTGTGTGTGTGTGTGTGTGTGTTTGTGTGTATGTGTCTGTGTGTGTTACCTGAGCAAGGGTTTTATGTTGTTTGCTTTGTTCTACAGCCTGCCCAATGGTGCACAAGGATGGAATTGACCTTGCAGGTATGCATTATCACAATTCTTAAATAAAAATATATTAAATACTACTCATTTGGGATCCAGATTTCTGATTTTTTAAGCCTTTGATAGAAAACTTTAAGTTAAAACCCTTTAAGTGATGGTTGACCCTCATTCCCTCTTTCTTACCATCCTCCCACTACCTTAGGATTTAAGATGATGGAGATGTTTGGTTTGATTGAAAAAGATTTTTCTGCAGTGGAAGGGGTTTCTATGGAGCCCGGTACCTTCAATTTATATCCATGCTACCATCTCCACAAAGATGCCCTGGTTTCCCAGCCAACCAGGTATGCTTCCCTTGTAAGATACTAAAACCAACCACAAGATCCATGCAAACTCAAATCAAAGAAAAACCCGGCACAGAACTGGAGAAATGGGTAAGAAGCCCCAACCTTAGCTGAGGAACTACTGGCAGCTGATCCCTGCTGGGTGAGAGAGAGCTGGTCTTTAAGGGAGTGATGCTAGCTAGGCTGAACAGGCTAGAATGGATGAACTCACATCCAGGGGTATCTGAGGACACAAACTTGACTTAATAGGCCTTAACATATATGACAGAATGCATGAAATCTAGGGGATTATGGGAGGGTACAGACAGGGAAGAGGGTCCAAATATAATCAAGCTGTATTGTGTGAAATGCATAAAAATACAGTAATATATTGTAAAAATTTTATTGTATGGAATTCTTAAAGAAAATAAAAATATTTGTATATATAAAGAAAAGTATGCCAATTTTAATATACACACATCATGCACACATGCATTCATAAATGAAGTATAAGTAAGTTAATCTTTTCAAAGAATCCCATGGTTTAAGAGGAAGTGCTGGGACTTGCAACTGGAAGTGGGCTCTTGACCTCGGATCCAGAACCCTTTCCCATGCTGCGTCAGATGGCATTTGTCCTTGAGTGGTCACAGCAGTAGCTCCAGAGAACTGAATATCACAGTCAGGTTAATGTAAAAATCCCATTACCAGTGTCCTTACAGAAGTCTCGGTGCTTGTGGAGACACAAAGGGCCCTTTGAACATTCTAGAGGTCATTGAGTATGAATTAGGAATTCCTGGCTTCACAAATCCTCTCTGAAGATGTCATCTGCTACTTTACATTCCAAATTGACATTTGTTCTTCTCAAAATATTGTTGCCATTACTTATGAAACATTTTTGGAGTGTTTGAATTTTGATACACTGTGCACACAGGTATGAAAAAGTAAGATTGCAGTGGAGTATTAAATTCTTCTAATTTATGTAAATACTTGCTTTATCTCCTTCTAAGATGTTTTTAATTAAAACTTGCCTTATTGTAATAACATCAAAATTCTATTGTACCTTATTATAGGTAATAATAGTAATATTAAAGTAAACACTTTTTTTCTTTTTTGGAGACAGAGTCTCATGTAGCCCAGGCTGCCTTCAAACTTTTGAGGATAACCTTGAACTCCTCCTAATCCTCTGGACTCCATCTCGCAAGCACTGGGATGGCAGGCAATGCGCCACAACACCTGGTTTAGATTGTTCTTTTAAAAACTGATTTTAAATGTTTCTTGTGATAGAAATATTGTTCCATTTTCTAAAATATGTTAGAAATGGCTTTGAGCTACAGAATATATGTGGTTTTTAGATAAACCCAATGCTTAGTGTTAACTTTTTTGGCAGATATTTTTCACATTATTTAGTGATGAATATTAAAATAGATAAGCCGAGGAAGCCCTGCCAAAATAGAAATTGCTAAATCAAAATTTCTCTTTCTACTGAGATGACTTCCCCACTCAGCAATGTCCCACACTTTGCTAAATGCAGCCATGTCCTGTCTTATGTGGCCTGTCGTCTGACTTAACCACACGTTTTTCCTCCTACAGTCCTTTCATCCCCAGGCAACAGGAGCACAACTAAGGAGCCGGCTTTGGGTTCCTAACTACATTATTGGCTGCTCATTTCAATACTAGTTTCTATTTTTCTCTACCTTTTCAGATGAGAAGGGCCAGGCCTTGCTCCCTGATCTCATTTTCTATTTCCAAGCTCTAGTGACTTTTTTCAGTACATAGTGATAAATACCAAATATTCATACAAAGGGATTGTAGATAAGCGTTATTCATGATACCACAACTTTTGAAAGTACGTTCAAGGAGATAAGATGGTGAGGCTGTGGCTGTAACTCAGTGAGAGGGTGCTCATCTAACATGGTTGAGGCCCAAGGTTAAATCCCCAGTGCTGTCAGGGGGTATGTTAAAATTAAAGAGTTAAAGAACTACTTTATTGGGAAAATGAAGATTACATACAATCTTGAATAGCTAAATTTCAGAAAGATCAGAAATATCTTGGTCTTTGAAGACTCGGGACTCCATTGACATATAGCAAAAATAAATAAAATATAAAATAAAGATATTAGCCAGCTAAATTAGGAAATAGCAAACAAAAAAAGATTGCATGACTGTCACAAATAATGTTCTTAAAACTATTTAAGAAAATGGAACGTGTCAAATGGCACTAAAAGTGGAACAAAATGTTATAAATTGGACAAGTACGCACATTCCTTAGTAATTGGAATAGTAATTTCAGTAATAGTAATTTCAGTGTGTAACACTGAAACAGTGATCTTCTCAGGTTACTGATAATGTTTTTGGTTCTCAAAAGCTTCTATAATGAAACTATGTTTACTTTATGATCAGAATGACTTTCTGAGAAAGATAACAAAACATTATTTTTGTCCCACCATCAGGTATCTGCACCCGGAAGGATTGCCTTCTGACTATACAATCAGTTTCCTGTTCCGGATCCTTCCTGACACGCCACAGGAGCCATTTGCTCTTTGGGAGATTTTAAATAAAAATTCTGACCCACTGGTCGGGATCATTTTAGACAGTAAGTATATTCATGTGAAACGTTTGCATATATAGCCATGAGTAACGCATGTGGCACACCATCTTTCCTGTTTCATGCATATTGCAAAACAAATCTTATGCACTGTATAAACAAAAAACAGTAAATCATGAAACAGTTGATCCAGTCACTTATTAACCCATTCTTGCAACAAATATTCCTCTAGGTTTTGCTTCGTGCTAGCACTTGGCTCTGGATAGAGTAGTGAGCAAGATGAAGGTGGGCGAGCAGTTTCTGCTTGAGAGTAAAGGCTTTAGGCAGAGCAGAACTGGAGAGGAGGGAGCTGTTGGGAGAGGCAGGGCCAGAAGTTTGTTTATTGGAGGAGGATAAGGTAAGTACAAGATGCCTATTTCATATTCTAGAGAGAACTTCAGATTGGCAGCATCATATCTGGGAAGAATTCTGGGATCAAGATATAAATTTGGAAGTCGTGTGTGTGTGTGTGTGTGTGCGTGTGTGTGTGTGTGTGTGAGAGAGAGAGAGAGAGAGAGAGAGAGAGAGAGAGAGAGAGGAAACTGAGTTCTATTCTTAAGATAGTGAAGATAAGAGAATGTGCCCAGACACTGGGAAACTCCATTGTTTGGAGGTTAAAAAGTTGACGAGAAGCCAGTGAGGCTTCCTATCATGATCTACAGTGTTGCACGTGATGTTCAGTTTCTTATTAACATCACTGAGTTTATTGAGTCTCAACATTAAAATGAAGTTAGGAGCTAAAACTTGAAAAACTTTACTATCTGCTGATTCAAACATTTGGATAAGGAGACTATTTAATCTTATTTCCAAATAAAAAGATTTAAAAGGAAGGTTCAATATATGGAAAGGACTCGACAACTAAATAGAATAGGGGAGAACTTTTGCATTGATATTGAAACTAAGGAGAACATACAGACTAAGAGGGATTAAGTCACTGACTCCATATATATTCTGGACTCAAAATTAAGGATGTCAAAATGACTAAAACTAGTTGCTCCTTGTCCTAGCTAGTTTTAACTGTCAACTGGACACAGCCTAGAGTCAGCTGAGAAGGAAGTCTCAGTTGAGGGATTTCCCAGATCAGTTTGGCCTGTGTGTTTGTCTGTGGGGGGGTTGTTTTGATTGTTAATTGATATAGGAGGGCCGAGCCCATTGTGAGGAGCATCATCCCAGGGCAAGCGAAACCTAGCCAAGCCCGAGTCTGCAAGTGAACCAGCAAGCAGCATCCTCCATGGGTACTGATGTATTTACTTGACTATAACGTGAGTTTCTTGCTGAGAGGTAATGCTGTGTTGAATAGCAAACAGGCCTGCCTTCAGTTCCTGATTAAGTTCCTATTTTGACATCCCTCTCTGATGAACTGTAACCTGAGAGTTGAAATAAACCTTGTCCTCCCCTAAGTAGTTTTGGTCAGAGCTTTTTTTTAATCACAGCAACAAAAAGGAAACTAGAACACTTCTTTTGAAAGCAGAGTGAAAAGCTAAATTGTAATTATAGGCAAGCACTGGTAAGAAAACCATTGCTACTTTTTAAACTAAAAATTATTTTATGTATGAATTTTTTTCTACATGTATATAAGTGCACCCATGTTGTGCAGTGCCTAAAGAGGTCAGAAGAGGACATAAGATCCCCTGGAACTGGAGTTATGGATGGTTGTTAGCCACCATGTGGTTGCTAGGAACCAAACCGAGGTCCTCAGCAAGAGCAGACAGTGCTCCTAAGTGTTAAGCCATCTCTCCAGCCTCAGCATTAATGTTTTTGTATGTTTATTCTGTTTTGTTTTCTTGAGACAGGGCCAATCCATCTCCTTGTAGCCCCAGCTGGCCTGGAGCTCCCGATGTAGACCAGGCTGGCCTTGATCTCATAGAGATCTACCTGCCTCTGCTTCTTGGGTGCAGGGATTAAAGGCGTGCACCACCCTGCCTGACTTTGGCATTGCTATTTTTAATAACGAAACAGTTCTTGTAAAATGAAGAACTAAGGACTAGGAAGCTGTTATCTGTTCAGAATAAATGAGACACCTGGGTGATAAAGCTGTATATCTTGGGAAAGTTGACCTTTGCAGTGGGCTGGTAAGAGACAGTGCCTGGTTTCTGTTTCCTAATATTCATTAGTTATACTCTCCCTTATCTTCCTCTAGTCTAAGATTTGACAAACTCTCCCAAAAAGGTGCTTTGGAAAAGAGTAAAGGCAGAGGTAGTAAGGAAGGATACGGGCAGGTGCCTTGTCTCCCTCTCATTAAAGCGGTTATTTCAGCCAACTGAAAGCCTGTAACACTGAGGACTGTTAATCATCTCAATCCCCCTTATTTTGTTTGTTTTAGGCACAATTTCAAAACAAAGGGCCCACTATTTTCTGTCAAGCTAAATTTTAGAAAAAAGTTATCCACTCATTTGAATTAAAAATTTTTTTCCTTTTTTTGACTAGATGGTGGGAAAACTCTAACTTATTTCAACTATGACTACACTGGAGATTTTCAAACTGTTACCTTTGAAGGACCCGAAATTAGGAAAATGTTCTATGGAAGCTTTCACAAGGTTAGTAGGCCTATGTACATATATATATTAATTCTATTTTTTGTTGAGAAGAGGAACAGAAATATCTTTTTGAAAATCTCTAGAGCTTGGGATCTCAATGTTAAATGGCATCAAGAATTACCACCTTTAATACTTGCTGATAGTGCCTGGGATTTTGAATTGGTAGTTCTGATATGGGATGCAGAAATATGTATTTTTAGCAGGCAATCCATAAGATATTGACAGATTTGGTCCAGATTCTTTTCAGGAGAAGGCACTTTATTACTAAGCAGACCATTGTTTATTTGCTGCATCATGTGTGATGGAGAAGGAATTGGTGGTCTACCTGACCATTTAGTGTTTTCTGTGGTTTTGAATATCTTTATCACACACATATCTAAGAGGGATCACATATGAAAAGTTACATACCAGAAGTGAAGGTATCTGAAAAGTGTGTAAGATACAGGTGGAGATTTATTAATTTAAAGTTCCAAATGGTGCCATGAGCAACTCTTTGAGCTTGATTGAGTGCCAAGTCCCTCTTGGCATGATTCTATTCTTAGTTATGCAGATTCTGTTGCAAAGCAGTCAGGAAAAACCATAGGGAGCTGAAAAGCATCTAGAATATCATCAGTGTCAAAAGAATCATTGTCATCACAGCCTGAGGTTTAGTCATGAATTTGTAATTCTCACTCCTAAGAACTCTTCATGCATCTTAGGCTAACGTTAAGCTTTATCGACCTTACTGGGACTTAAAGAACTAGAAGTAAGATTTATTAGTGATTGGTTTTAAATTTATGAATCTTCAATTTTTTAATATTTATTGATTTTTATTTTATATATATGTGTGAGTGCCTGCACATATGTATGTGCATCATGTGCATATCTTGGTGCCCACAGAGGCCAGAAGAGGGCGTTGGATCCCTGGAACTGGACTTAAAAATGGTTATACGTCACCTGATGTAGGTGCTGGGAAATAAACCCAGGTCCTCTGCAAGAGCAGCCAAGTGCTCTTAACTGCTGAGCCATCTTTCCAGCCCCCAATCTTCAAATTTTTCAAATGTCTTTTAAAGAAATGCTTTCTTCCACTCTGTTATTAAAGCCAAACAAGAAAATAAAAGAAAAGGCCTGTTGTGTAATAAATTGATGCCTTATACGACTATTGTTAGAAACTGTTCAATTCACAGAGATAAAATTGGATTTGTTCAAAGCATTGCATTATAATTTAACAAATCCCTTAATTTATTACTGATTATTAGTTGGCTTTATCTTTTCCATTTTGGATATATATGTAGTCCTAATATCTCTTTCAAACAGTTAACCACTATATAAATGGACTGTTTAGTGTAACCAAAGAAGCAAAACAGTTTTAAAAATGTTTCAGTGTCTTCTTTTGTAAAACTAAAGAATTATTGTTCTAAACATGTGAAGAATCTCCCCAAACATGCAGCAGTCCGTTTCTACCCTTCTAAATGAAAGAAGTGTTAACTGCAGCAAGAGATTTAATGGGATTTCCCCAGGCAATTTTTCCGTGAGTTATAGTTAACTTTCTTTTGAAGGAAAAGGATTCTCAGGAGCAGCAGTGCTGACTTCAGTGTACTGCTAATATAACTTATACAACATTAATAAAATTGCTATAAATCTATGTGCTGTCATCTTTTATACAATCATGGAGTAAAACAAAGTTGAACAAAACCTGTAAAATTAAACTGTCCTGACTTAAAAAATGTTATGTCACTGATACACAGAGTGTGCTTCTAATTTCAGTGCTGTATTAGCTGGTTTAATTCTCATAACCTTGATTCCTGTCACCCAATCCCCTTGTTCATTGAATTACCATGGTAACTTCCCTTAGTGATGTCAAATTTTCTTTGCTTTTTCTCTTGGGGTGAAATCACACTGACATGTGAATTTCACTCTTCCTCACTATTCTGCCACAGGCCAGTTGTACTCATGAAACAAACCAACCATCAGAAATCAAAATGTGTCATAGACCCTGAAATCTTATGCTAGAACCTGGTTACAATGTGGTTACTTGATTTATCTAGAATATACTTACCCTTGATGATAATCTAAGAAAAACTGAAGGATTTAGCCTTTCCAAATCCTCACAAAGAGCCCATGACTCTTGAAAAACTGTCTTCCACATTCATGAAATTGTAGTTTAAGAAATTACACCAGAACTAGGCCAAAGGGCTTTATTTCATTTGAACTTAGAGTCACAGGAAGCATCCTCCTTCAGAAGCCAGCTCTCCCTTCCTCATCCTCTGACAAGCAAATATTAGCAAGTTGTAATTTGTGAATATTGGAGGTACCGTAGATGATATGTGGTAGTAACCTGACAAGCAGTTTTAAATTTTTAATAATGTGCATATTTCTATATATGTTCACAAAATGAACAAGTAACACAGTGATCCTATTATTTCAAAGATGCTATTGCTCTAGTTTAAAGATAACGTTTAAGAAGTAAATCTTTGGCTGGTTAATCTACCCTTTGACTTTCATGT